TAAAAGAACTTGCCCTGGAGCTCACCAGCTCACTGACACACTGTCTTCTGTCCTCTCCCTTTAAAAAGAATTGTTTACACTCTCCTTCTATTTCCTCGGGTTTTAGCCTCACGCCCATCTCCCACAGCTCTCCCTGCACCTCAGAAAGCACAGTTCTTAGAGGTCATTAGGTACCTCCTATGCACCACATCCAGTGGCCTTTCCCTCAGTCATAGAACAACATCATCATCAACAACAACAACAACAAAAAGTTCAATTTTGTTTATTCATGAAACAATTATCCTTCTGTGTGTCAAAGGCCTGGTTATCTCTTTACTTTTTTTTAAACTTAAATGTGGGAAAAATTTATTACTTTCTCTCTTTCTTATACAATGTGTCCTCTATTCTGCACTTTTTTTTACTTAAAAATATAATCTTGTAATATTTTCATGTCTGCTTCCTTCCAGAGATAATTTAATCATTCTTGTAGGTTTCCATCATCTCCTGGATGTACCACAGAGGTGGTCTCCATGGGCTTCCCTACGCCCACAGTCTCTCCTTGTATCCCACTTCTCACATTAGGGACAGAGCACTCTTCTAAAAATGCAGACTTATTAAACCATTTTCTCTTGCTCAAAAAATCTCCATAACTCTCATACCTGTAGGGGGAAGTGTGTGTGTGTGTGTGTGTGTGTGTGTGTGTGTGTGTGTGTCTCCCCAAAGCCTTTATTTAACAGGGCATTCATGCTCTCAGAACTCTTTAGGTCAGAACTTTTTTGATTGCAGATATCCAACACATTTGCTTAAGCCAAAAAAGAGAGGAAATATTGGTTTCTAACCCCAGAAAATTCAAAAGTAGGTCTTGCTTCAGATCTATCTGGCTCCAGAGGCTCTAATGATACCACCAGAGCTCTTTCTCTTCTCTCAGCTCGGCTTGTCTCTGCTCGACTCTGAGTGTGACTCCATGGCTGGCAGGTGCTCTTCACCTAGTGGAGGGGAGCTCTTAGACCATCATTGCAGCTCTCAGACCAAATGAATCTAGTACCCAATAACTACCCTTCTGAGAGAACTCCCATTGTTTTTAACTTGACATCTATAGGCTATAGCCAGGGGGTTGGGGTCCTAGTTGGTCAGATAAGGGTCAGGGACCCACAAGTATGGTCAGGAGCTGATGAGGATTGACAATCCCCCAAGAACTATGTAGGATGGTGGAGGGGCACTTTCCCAATGTAAGGAAGGGTGCACCCCTGATGTCCCCACATGGGAACTACGACTGCTGCTTTGGGTTATAAGGAATAGAGAGTCATTCAGATAATGATTGGAGTTATTCAAGGAGTTTGGTGCTCACAAATCTCAAACCACTGGGCTGCAGGAGGAGCAGGAAGAGCATCTGCCCTCTGAAAGCTCCTTATAGCGACTCAGTTACTCCCTCTGTGGATCACCCTGTCCCAATGATTGAGGGCTCCTGGTTTCTTCTCCCTCACCGTCCCATTTGGTTATTTGCCTGATGTACATCTGCTGAACTGTTAACTGTGTGCCAAGCATGTGACAGGCACTGGAACATATAGCAGTTACAGAACAAATAAAAATCTCCCCTCATGGAAGTCACACTCTAATGGGTGGGGATGGGAGATAAACAAATGAAACAAGCAATCTGCAAGGTGCTGGTAGACAGTATGGAGAAGCAGGGGAAGGCAGTGGAGCATGGTAGGGGATTGTGGTGGTCAGGGAAGACCTCTCTGATAGGTAATATTAGAATGGAGACCTTAAGGAAGTGAAGGAGCAAGTCATGGTGATGCCCAGTGGAAGAGTTTGTTAGGCAAAAAGTCACATTGAGTGTAAATATCTTCAAAAAGTACAAGCTTGGTGTGACTACAGAACAGCCCAGAGGCCAGAAGGCTCAGAGAACAGTGAGCTGAGAGAGGTAATGAGAGATGGGCAGGAGTACCACAGGGTAGGAGTATGGGAGAACAGCAGAACATGTAGAATCTGGTAGATCTATCTCAGGATTTGACCTTGAATTTGAAGGAGATGGGAAACCACCTGAGAGTTCTGAGCAGAAGAGGGGCATGATCTGCTGTATTTTTTGGAGGGTCACTCTGGCTGCTGAAAGGAAGAGAAGATTGAGTTAGGATTGAAGCAAGAACAATCAACATTTTTGGGGGCGGTGAGGCTTGGACAGGGATAGTACAGTTGCAGGGAGTTGGAAATGGTCCTATTCTGGATCTAGTTTAAAGAACTGTTTGTAGAACTGATGAATCAGAAGTGGGATGCAAAAAACAAGAAGTCTAGGAAAATGTGGGTTTGGGGTTTGAGCATCTGGTAGAATGGAGCTATCCTTTACAGACATGAAGAAAACTAGGAGGCTACCCAGGGCCTCCCTGGGGCTTTGCCTCTCCTGGTGAATGGCCTCACTCTCTCCATACTTCCTAGTTCTGCTTTCTGAGAAAATGGATTGGGTCAGTATGAATTTGTGCACAAGTCCAATTCTGTACCAGTAACAGAATCACTCATACAAATATGAGATGACTATGGTAGAGAAGCTTCCTTAAAAGAGCCAGATGAGTGATAGGTGCCATCCTGACATTCTCACCACAATGTCCTGGCTACCAACTACTTTTAACCTTCACCTGCCACTCACCCCCCTCCCATCTTTCCCCAGGCACCTGAGATTCCAGCTACATTTTATCTGGTACATCTCTAGGCCTTCATGTCTTTGATCCTGCTGTTCCCTCAAGATGGGACACATATTTTCTTCTGTCATACCTAGTGTACCTACACCAGGAACTCTGCAGGGGTAAAGTGGGGACAGGGTTAGCAGAATCAAAATGAATTACGGGAAAAGCAAATCAAAGTTGGAGAACAGGCCTTGACGGTGTTCAAGATGAGTAAAGAGGCTGCAGGTAGAATAGGCAACTGTGAAGACTCCAGAGTATGTTTTGGGGCCCTAGGACTAATTTCAAGATAAAATCATCACCCCAGGAGAGACACAGCACAAAGACTTCTTTGCAGACCAACTACTGTAAATAGTGTGACCCTCACTGTCTATTTTGGTAGGAGGGAGACCAGAAGTGACACAGAAGAAGAGGTTCCCAGGGGACCCACAAAAGTACATTTGGGTCCCAGTTTGCTGGATTGGGCAGGGCAGAGCTACTTGTCTGGGGAGACCTGGAGGCAAAGCCAGGTGCTGGAGACCAGATGCCTGCTACATATCATGAAGGTGGTGTTCAATGGGCTACTCTGGCCTAATCCAGTGCCCTGGAACTTCTAGGAATTCTCTTGATGCATACCAAGCAATGGGAGTCATGCTGGGATTTTGTGAGCTGAGTTCTGAGGAGGTTCTCCAAAGTGGAGTGCATACCTTTCAGGGATGCAAGATAATCCAACTGGGTGTGAGAAAAATGTATTAGAACCTCTATTTCTTTTTAAAAATATTTATTTATGTATCTTTAGTTTTAGGTGGATACATTAGATTTATGTGGTGCCAAGGATCGAACCCAGTGCTTCATGCATGCTAGGTGAGCACTCTACCACTGAGCCACCACCCCAGCCCCTAGAACCTCTATTTCTATTTTATTCTTTTTCTATTTTTATGTTTTACAAAATTCCTAATGTGTTAGTCTAGTACATTTATGGAATGTGTGAATGAGTAAATATATATTGGAAAGAGATGAACAGAATTCTATTGCAGATATAAGACCCCTCTTTGGTAAAGAGGGTGGAAGATGGGGCTGCCATTTGCTGAGGGAGAATAAAGAGGAGTCACAAATGAGGAGGGAGAAGGAAGAGGTTGAGTTTCTGCTAATTTGTTCTGCATAACCCTGAGGTGACATGGGTAAGTTTGGGCAAAACAAGGCTTCTGCATCTTGGTGGGAGGAGGCATCTGGGGGTCACTGCCCCAGGCAAGGGGAAGGTCACTCCTGAACCTGTCCAGCAGAGGCCCAGCTTACAGCCCTTTAACCTGGCAGCTCAGAGTTTCAAGAATGTTTCAAGTGGAAGGAGACTGAGAGGGAAACTGCTGGGGAGATTTCTTGGGGTGGAGAAGGAAAGTCTCCCAGTGTGGAGAGCAGGTGAAAGCTGGGGCCTCTGTGTTGGCAAGAATGGGGGAGGATAGATCTGAGAGGTTGCTGAAGGGCCTCTAAGAAATCTTTGTTGCAGCAGGACAATCTTGGACAATCGTGACATCCTTTTCCCAAACAGGAATAGACACAAGGACAGACATACAGATCCTTCACTGTCATCTGGCACAAGAACAAGGTGTCTAAAAAGACAGTCTCCTCCTACCACAACCCCAGATCCACCCCAGGGACGAATAGGTCCACAGAGACAAACAAAAATCTATTCACATGCAGGAAGACATCCACCCATCACCTACCACCACCCTCCCACCCGACACAGGCGTCTGTACTTGCTCCCAGACCTCAACACAGGGCCACCACTCCCAGCGGTTGCTTGCCAGGGCCTGAGACTCAGCAAGACACTGGGGTCGCGCGAGGTCCGTTAGCAGGCTCCTGGGTTCTCCGCCCGGCTGGCGCTCTCCTGGTGTAGAAGTGAATGCAGAGAGAAGCAGGAGAACCGGGTCTCCGCGGTCTCCACGGTCTCCACGCAGACTACCAGGATAGAATTGCGGCTGCGCGGCAGCAATTGCGCCGGCTGAGGAGCGGAGGGAGGAGACACACAGCACCCAAGACTACCCCCGCCCACGTTTTGAGGGCCTCAGATGTAGCTTGCGGAGATCCTGCACCCTAGTTCCGGATGCGGGGACAGATGCACAACTTCCAAGTTGTCTCTGAAGTTTCGGAAACACTCCTTGACCTGAGGGCCTGGGTGGGTGGAGGAGTGCAGATGCTGAGGGGCAGGCTTGTCTTGGCCGGCCTGCTCTCAGCTGTCGCCTAGAGGAGCCAATAGTTTGGTTGGAGTCACAGTTAGAGAGGAGTTGCGGGGATCATTGAGAGGATTATTGGGGATCAACCTGTGCGAGGGGAGGCTGGTCCCAGAGACAGGGAGAGACAAACCTGGAGCCATGGGGAATGACATACAAAATTTTATTATTATTATTATTATTATTATTAATTTATTTCTCATGTGCACAAAAAAAGAGAGAAAAGAAAGAAAGAAAAAGAAAAAAGAAAGTAAAGGGGAAAAAAAAGAAAAAAAAAAAAGAATCAAAAAGAACCGACGCATTGAAAGTGGCCAAGGAGACCAGAACTTCGGGGGACCTTTCAAAGATTAAGCCTGGTCCTAAGTCCCGGGAGCTTCTGCCCGGCCAGCCTCACAAGGACTGGGATGGGCTGGACCTCGGAGTTGGGACCTGGGCGCCCTCACCGTCCTTCTCGGGCCACAGGAGCCTGGCTGGGCGCCGGCAATTCCCTTAAATTATTTTCTTTTCTCGCTTTCCCTTTCAAATAGAAAGGCTCGAAGGGGAGAGAGATCTGGGCGAGGACTCCAAGCCTTTTCGGATTTGTTCAAGGATTTTTATTTATTTATTTATTTTCACTTTTATTGACTTTTGTTTCTGTTATTTCGAGTTGTCACGATCCACGGGTGAGGAGACATGCAGGGCGCAACGCCGCTACTGAGAGAGCACTACAGGGCGGGGCGGGGCGGCTCAGTCCGGCCCGGCCCAGCCGCAAGGGGCCAGCGGGGGGACTGGGGCTGCCACCTCTGATCTAGCCTGCGAGGGCAGGACGGCCGGGGCTGGGCTGGGGAGAGAGTCCAGGGAGGGGCAGAGACGGAGACAAGCGAGGCAAGGACGGACAGAGACAGAGACAAGGGGAGAAAAGCAGAGAGAGGAAGGTGGTGAAGAGACGGGAGAGATGCACTGGGGTTGAAAGCGAAAACACGGAATTACAGAGAAATAGCCAACAAAACAGGCGAGAGGAGTCCACGGGACCATGTTCGTCATTTTGCATAGAGATTTCTTTTCTTTCGTAATTTTTTTGTAACATAAAAATGCCCCCCTTCCCGGACGTGCTGTGCTTTAGTGGGCGTGTAGCTGTGTCCCCCCTCCCCCCAGCGAGCGGCGACTCTCACAGCACAGACAGCGGGGCGTATCTACAGGCAGGGCGGGCGACAGGAACTCTACGGGGCGGGACGGAGGGGGAGGGGTTATATACACCGGGGTTCGCCTTCACGCGACACACACCATCTTTCTACAAAGCAGCAGCCTGTTGGTATTTTTGTTTTGTTCCTTTTTGCAAAGATCATATTAAATAATTGTAGACTTTTGCGGTTCTGTTCAGTTCTTGTGGGAAAGGAGGCTAGGGGCGGGGTGGGGAGTAGGCAGCCCCCACTTGCACTCCGCGGCAGCTCGGACTTCAGCTCAGAACCGGCTCCTGCCGCCGGCAGATTGGGAGTCTGTGTCGGGGTCGGGGGGGGGGGCACCAAGAGACTGCTCGGGAAGACCAGTGCCCGCTGCCGATGGAAACTGGTCCCGCGGCGGGTCGGGGAGAGCGTCCCACGGGGCGGCAAGTTAGGGACCAGGGACCTCAGGGCGTTGAGGGATGGGCAAAGGAACCTCAGGAGGGGAAATTGGGAGGATGTGAGATGGAAGTGACGCTGAGGTAGGGGCAAGGCGGGGCCGAGTCGAGTCACGTAGCAGGAGGTGCCTGGGCCCTGGGGAACTAGGCAGTCCAGGTAGAGGAAGCGCATCCTAGAGTCGGGCTTGGTTGGCGCAGGCCGCTGGGGCTGCATGCCTTGGATCCCAGTCTTGGAAGACTTGACGCCCCCAAGCGCCATTCCTAGAGCCCCCTCACGCCCCCTTTTCCACCTTCTAGGGCTAAGCACACCCAGAAAGCAGGGGGCAGTCCGGCTGGCTCAGGGGGTAAGGAATTTTCTCCCAGGGTTCGGCAGGCGGTTTTTCCTTCTTTTGCAGAAAATCCGTTTTGTTCATTATTTCTTTTGCCCAGCCCCTCCAGCCAAGCCTCCCGGCGACCAAGCGTCTGAGACAGGCTGCTCCGGGGCTGGGCCGCGCTGCAGTCCGCGCTGATTGTGTGTCACAGAAATTTATCCGGCGTGTGCGGCGGCGGGCCGGGCCAGAACCTGCGGGATGGCAGGCCGGCTCTGAGACCGCTGGGCGAAACCCAAGCGAGCTGGGCCCGACCCTCCTCAAGGCGCCGCACAGTCCAGGCAGGCGGGGAGGGGCGGCGGGCGGGGTTGGGGGCGGAGGACCCGGGCCTGAGGGTCCCGCCCGCGGCTCCACTCGTCCTGTCCGGTCTTCGACGTGAAGGGCTGAGGGGATCTTGGGGTGGGGTTGGAATGGTAGCCGAGAGGCATCGCGTCGCGACGGTCCTCCCTCCCTCCAGGGTGGGTGGTCAGACCGGGACGATGTGGAGGCCGAAGCTGTCGGCCTGAAGCTTGATGTGGTCCCCGCGGTAACTAGTGGCGGTCATAGGCAGCGGCAGCAGCGGCAGGGGCGGAGCCCCGGGGGGCGGCACTATAATAATAAGGGGAACCTGGAAGTTAACACAGGAGAAGAATGGGCTGGGTGAGAGGACAAACAGGAGAACAAAAAAGGAAAGAAAAGCAAAGCAAAGATTTCCCCGAGCTGGGGTCCAGCGGGATCAGGGCTGGGAGACCACGGCTGGCCTGCAAGGCCATGAGGAAAGCTGCGTTCACCGGTCGGGAGAGGTGACGCCAGGCTGCGGACCCTCTAGGGAGAGTGACGTTGGCGCATAGCCTTCTAGTGACCCGGGAGGGAGGGGGAGGAAGGGAAGATGCAGGAGGCGCTGGCGTCCTTGAGGGATCCCAGGGACTTAGTGTTGCACTAACGAGCCTGTCCCCTTGGCAACCCAGCACCCGGAGGTTGGGTTGCCGGGAGTGGGACCCGAGTCCCGAAGCGGCACTGCCGAGCTGGCGGGCGGGCAGGCGGACGCTCAGAGCCGCCGGCCAGCCAGGTGACGTACTCACTTAGTAAGGCAGGGTTGCTGAATCTCCAAGCCTCGTTGTAGGCGGTGTATTGGGGGTGGCTGTACGGGTTGCCGGAGAACTCGCTCCCTGCGGGAGGTCGGGGGAGTGGGGGTCAGACTCGCGCACGCCGGGGTGGATCCCCGACGAGCCCTGCAGGTGTTTTTGCCCTTCCCCCCAGTTCTGGGCCGCAGGCGTGGCAGGCAAGGCAATGGCTGGTGCAGGCCGGTCGGAGGCGGGACAGTCCACTGGGTCCGCGTGGGGCTAGGGGAGGCGGGAAGTACCCATACTCCCCAGCCCAGGCGCTTCGGGACATCCAGGAAAGGCTTGTTCTGGCCTCGGGAGAGCCCATGCGACTAACTTGGGGGTCAAGCGCTTTTCAAGTGGACACTCCGGTTCTAGGAGCCATAGTCCCAGAGGTTAGAAAAGTACAGGAGAGTGGTGAAGAAAGGCCACTGGGACATTTTGTCCCAGCAAGTCCTAAGAAAGGCATCTCAGCATGTGCCAATGCAAGGTGGTGTGTGTGAGTGTGCGTGTGTTCGCGCGTGCGCTTGCTTCCTTTGCCTATAGAGGTTCTATACATGGGCCAAGCGGCAGGGGAAGGACGCTGTAGTAGCAGGTGGGCTGCCCACTGGTCCAAGAGCAGTGAGCGTAGGTCCCCATGGGCTGGGAGCCATCGGAAGCTTCCTCCCTCCCTCCAGGGAAGAAAGGCCAGGCCTCCGGGTTTCCCCCTAGCCCTTTCTCCTGTGTGATGACCCCAGACTGTTTACAGTGATCCCTAACCGCGGGTTAAGTAGAGGAGAAGGGGCCCCTCTCTGAGAGGGAGCTGGGGTGGGGGTGGGGGATGCAGCCACTGGAAAGCCTGTTTATTGACGAGGAGGGAAAGCATGCGTGCAGCAGGATAATGAGCTTCTGAGCTCAACTGTGACCAAGAGGAACTGAGCTATCTCCTTCCCCATCGCTAATGAAACAAGTGTAATTTCCTCATCAGCACTAGATTCTGTTTAACGACTCCCCCCTTGCCACCATGAGCTCTCTGCGGCTCCCCTCATCCCCACCTCCCTGCAGATTCCCCACCCCCATCTCCCCACTCTTTCTTCACCCCACCTCTCTAAGACCTCCTCCATCCTCCACCTGCTCTTTGCTAGCACCTTGCCCCCCCAAATTTTCTTTTCCCCAGCAATATTTCTACTTTCCAAAATCTGGGCAGGAATACCTTCACCCACACTCCTACTCCTGTCTATTCTGTAGCACTCTGCAGCAACAATCTCCCTTTGCCTTATCCCCACCCTAAGCTCTGCTTACCCAGGGCTACCCCTGAACTGCTGAGGTCAATCACCCTCTTCTATCCTCTCCCTCTCCCCCTACCAGCAAGAGTTGAACTTCAGGGATAGGGCACACAAGAGAGTTGCTAGAGGCAGTCGATTACAGGCCTGGGTAAGGATTTCTCTCTTTTAAGAGTTTTTTTTTTGGTGTTTCTGCAGATAGGAACGTCTACTCTCTTTGGCTACAAGCCCTGCTCCCAACCTGGGGTGAGGGGTCTGAACAGCACGACCTCCAGCTGTAGTCTTAGGCCCTAAATACAGCCTTTGCCTCCCTGATCCACATAGCTGAACCTGATGCCTCTCAGGCAAGGGGTGGATCAGCCCTGGAACAATGAGGGCCTGGGTTCTAGAAGAGATGTGGTGGTGTCTAGCTTGCCTCTCCAAAGCCAAAGTCATTTGTTCCTGTCCTCTGTCCCTCGTAGGGACTATATCCCTCCTTCCTCTGGTTTGGGTTGGTTCTCCTCACTGGTCTTCCCCTGTGGCTTGGTGTAGACCAGAGTGGCTTTGTCTGAATGACTGACATGCCCCTGGAAATGGTTCTTGGCTCCAAGTTTCCATGGAAACCAGGACAGGCTCTTCCAAGCAGTGTCAGCTGGCTGGGGCACTGAGGGTAAAGCTGAGACTGAATGCTCCTGGGGCACAGGCTCAGATGGGTGGGTGCTGAGGAGGGGCCATGACATAAAGTGGGGTGCACAAAAGGGGGAATTTTTGTAAGCTTCCTCCCTGGGTTGCTCATGAGGGAGGATGAGGCGCAACTGCACCCTCTAGGGAGAGAGGGGGACAGAATAACAGTGATTTGCAGGGAGGGGATCTTGGGTCTTACCTCACCCCCAGTCTCAGACTATAGACCACTCAGCAGCTCACCCACAATTTAATTACCCCCACCTAGATTAGGCAGCTGCAGTATTGTCACCTACCAGGCACCATTCCTGCCAGGGTGGAGGTGGGGTAGCTTCCCTGGCCAGTGGGGGGCACGTGAGGGGGATAACCAGGCAGAGTGGTGCTCGCCATGTCACGACCTGGAAAAACACAAAGGGGAAGGGGTGAGGCCTGGAAGAGAGGGGCCTGCCTCTGCTTGCACCCAGGCTCTCCAAGAAGAAGAACTCCTGGAGAGGAAGGACCTCTGTGCAGACATGCACCTGAATGTGCAGGTACCGGAGTGCCTTTGAATGGGTGTGTGTATGTACAACTGGCCATGTGTACACCTCTGTCTGTGTAGCTCTTTGTGTCTTTCTCTAAGCATTTGTGTGTCTGCCTTTGCCTGTGTCTCTGTTTTCCAAACCCAGATGGAGATGGGAGGAGATGACCTGGTTTTACTCCTCCTTCTCTGCAAGATATTAAGTTGTGGTCTCTCCAGTAGCCAAATGTCTTCTATCTCCCTTCCCTAACACACCATCTTTCCTTCAGGTTTTGAGGACATCCCACCACCAACCTTACAGGGGCTGATGGACATTCCTTGTCTTCTACAAATGGGGCTGCAGGTGCTGGATCTGACAGGTATGGAGGGCCCAGGACCAGCAAGTGAGCTATTTTGCTGTTATTGTTTAAGGCAGTTAAATGAGAGAAAATTATACCAATTTGGATTAAGGGCTTTGAGTCAATAGTGCAAGTGGATCAGATCAAGTTCCAATGAGCAAAATCTGCTTCCCTACCAACTGCTGGGCTTCTTGGACTTCTTCCCTAGAGTCCTCTATAAGCTAGGGCCTGGAGAATGGGAAGCAGGACTTTCCTTTCCAGTGTCCTGGTGTGGAGGTAAAGTGAGTCAATGTTAGGGAAACATCTCTGGTCCATAGACGGTTCCCCTGGAACACGGCTGCATGGACTGGTTTCCCTTCTCCATTGCTGTGAAGGTAGCACTGCACTCGTGGCAACTTAATGTGTTCCAATCATTAATGACAATATTTGCTTCTTCCCTCCCCCATACTCCCACATGCCAGACTGCTCTATCCTCTCCTGGGGTTCATTTGTCCCCTGCAGATTCTCCTTATCCTCACCATCCAGTGCCTCATGCCTCTGTCCAGACCTTGGAAGGCAAGGCATGTACTTCTCCCAGTTCACTTTCTTTCCCTCAGTTGGGCCTTAGTTGTCATCCTTCCCATGGCTATTCTAAAGCATCTTTCTGGGGCTGGGAATGTAGTTCAGTGTAGAACATCTGCCTGGCATGTGTGAGGCATCACAGGGGAAGAAATATTAAAGCAGAGTCAAGGCATCTTTCTTTGCTACTGTCCCTTTGAAGATGACCTCACCTCCTGTGTTGCTGAGGTGTGTGTTTTCCTGCCCCTACCTTGTCACAACTGAGTGATTCATTCTTCTCTAAGAACAGAGTTATAGCTCAGGATTTTTAATTTCCAGCTTCCTACTGAACATTTTCATTAGCTGTCCCACTGTTACCTCAAATCTAACAGGCATCAAGACTGATTCATATTATCCCCAATCAGTTCTACCAACCCTTTTATTTTTTTGTAATACTAGGAATTAAACCCAAGGGTGCGCTACATCCCCAGCCCTTTTTATTTTGAGCATTGTCTTGCAATTTTCCCAGGCTGGCCTTGAACTTATTCAAATCCTTTTGAAGACCAGCAACTCTGGGGTTATTGACATAGCCTTTTTCTTGCCCTCTCTACATGAAGTCAGATACCAGGTATGGTTGATTTTCATTAGCCAAGTTTGTTACATTTGCCCATTTCCATTTCCTCTACCACTCTTAAAACTCAGCTAAGCACTTGATTTTGAGTTTGCGCTTGCCCAGTGGTTTTCCTTTGCTTGTATCCCTTGTCTCTACATTCTTATCCCTCCTAGCCACCCCACATGTGGCTTCTTGGCCAGCCCTCATGAAATGTTGCTTTCATCACACCACTTCCCCTGTAAAAGCCATCGTTGATTGGAACCTCTGCAGACTGTCAGAGCCTCCCAGGAACTCTCTCCACTCAACTCTCTCAGCTCTGACTCCAAAACAACCGTTTTAGTTGGACTGTTTTCACTGTGTGCTGTGAAACCTCTGTGCTTTTGCCATCCCCTTTTCTTCTTTTTTTTTTTTTTTTTTTTTTTTGGTGGTGCTGGGGATTGAACCCAGGGCCTTGTGCATGCAAGGCAAGCACTCTACCAACTGAGCTATATCCCCAGCCCCCACCCTTTTCTTCTTCCTCATTCATGTTTTCCCTCTTCTTCCTGCTCAAGCCTCAAAATCCCTACCATTCTACTCATCAAGGAACCATTTCTCTCCGTGGTTTACCACATCATTACATTGTATAAATGTGTCATCCCTGTTATTGCATATCCTGGTTTGTTTCTTCAAATAGATCATATGCAACCCAAGGGCAGGACCTGTCTTCTGCTCTCTCCTACATAGTTGGGAACATGGTAAATACTCAATGAATAATTGTTTTTTTAGTTCTCTGTCTTTCCATTGCACTTATAGCCAATTCCTAATAAGGTTATGATTGTTTTAAAACTGTTTCATATATATTAATCTACTACAAAGGGGTAAAGCTGGGAAAAATGTAATGTTTTTACCTTTTTTTCTTTAAAGACAATTTAAACAATTGTTTATGAATCCTTATAGGATGGTGAAAGATTTATAGGGAGAGACTCATCTGTTGTGATTCAGCTTTATCATGCCATAGAATGTTTTTCCTATATCCCTACCTAATATAACTGATATCTCACATTTCTTAAAATTCAAGAACAAATAGAGCAGAACTGACAAACAAGACATCACTTATGACTCCCAGGGAGGTAGAAGAATCTGTGTTTGCTTTTGTTTTGGATTTTCTTTTATTCACTTTGATTGTCAATTAAAAGTATATATCTCTTGACCATCTTTCAGTGAGTAGACCTGAAGTGGACAATGACAGCAACATTCACTTTGTAAAGAGATTAATAATATGGAACTTACTGGTCACAAAAAGCCTGAAATAGAAGAGAACTAGGAAAGATGTGGAGGTTTTGAAGCTAGGTAGTCATAGGAAACAAATTCCTCCTGTCCCTATGATGTGCATGTCTACAAAGCAGCCAGAAAAAGGAGTAAGGCTTCATCTTAACAAACAGAAATTTAAATGTATCTGAATTCTGGTTTTCAACTGCATGGTTCTCACAACCTGTTGCAAATGAATTGCTCAAAATCTAAGGTTTTGTCAGAAAATCTCCTCCCAAGCTTCAGGAGAGAGAAGAAAAGCTGGGTGACTTGAAAGCTGTCCCCAACTAACCCAGAGGCGTTTCTATTGCAAAGTTTATTCCTTTTTCTCTTTTGCAAAGTGGTACAGCCAGGGGCTGGGGGTATAGCTCAGTGGTAGAACACTTGCCTAGGATGGGTGAGGCTCTTGGTTCAATCCTCAGCACCACATACAAACAAATAAACAACAACAAATACATAAAATAAAGGTTAAATTCTTTTAAAAAAAAAATGTGAAAAAATTGGGCTTGGGATATAGCTCAGTTGGTAGAGTACTTGCCTTGCATGTACAAGGCCCTGGGTTCAATCTTCAGCACTGACCCCCTCCCAAAAAAAGAAAAAGTGGTACAGCTAGCTTGCTGAAAGTCACATACTAAACTATTAATTATAAGGCACATTTCCAAATTCTATTTAAAAAAACTGAATTTGGGAAGCACTAGGCAGCAGTTTTTAAAATGTGAGAGAAGAGGCCCACAATGGAAAAAGCATTCCAGCTTCCTAGCGTTTGGCATACAGCTGTGCTCCATTCTGTCACATCATTGTCACTACAAAGAGGTGTCTGTTCAGGACCCCTGAGCCAACAAAAGTGCAAGCCGCTGCATACAAAGCACTTTCAATGGCTTCATTAGTACACAGGTGACACCTGAAGAGCAGGAAAAAATTGACCAAACTCTTCCCAGAGCCATATATTCCTCTGGAACACCATTGTCAATAATGAAAAACACATATTGCAGGAAGTTTTCAAATTACTAAGATCATCATACCATTTGCCCAGCAGCAATCTCTGAGCAAGTCTCCTTTAGTGTGGGAATATAAGTGAGTAATGGAACCTGTGCAAGGAGGATCCACGGAGCACCTGGTATTGCAGTACTACAATGATGCAGTACTAGAATGATGGACAGACAGGAGCGAAGACAGACTCTAAAACTGTAGATGGGCTGGGTGCAGTGGTGCACACGGGTAATCCCAGAAACTTGAGATTGCCTCAAGGTAGGAGGATCATGAGATTGAGGCCAGCCTGGGTAACTTAGAGAGACCATGTCTCCAAATAAAAAATAAAAAGGGCTGGGGATATAGCTTGGTGGTAGAGTGCCCCTGGGTTCAATCTCCAGTACCACAAACAAACAAACAAACAAACAAAACCAAAACCCTCTATAAGACAGCACAGCCACCTCCTTTACACAAACAAACAAAAACTGAGAAACAGGAGAAAATGGCTACACTGCAGAATGGAACAGTTATAAAATATGTGCTATCCAACAGGAGACAGGAAGCAGTAAAGTATTTGCTTTGCTCACTGACAATGCCAGTAATACGAAAACATCACCAGGAATCACAAATGGATAAAAACTCACGTTACTAAGAGAGAATGGGGCTTTCATGTTGCTACTTGCTTTCTAAGCTTTTAAAGACAAGAACCTTCCAGATGATTAGTTTAACAGCCTTGTTTTAAAGGTGAGAAAATGGAGGCACAGAGAGGCACAATGACTTTCCTCTAGCTACATAGCTAGTAAGTGGTGGAGCCAAAGTTTGAAGCCATATCTATGCCACACTGCCTTTAATGACAACATGCAGCCAGATAATCCCCCAAAGAGCCAAAGAAAAGGAAAAGAAGTCACCTGACAGGCAAGTCTCATACCATCATGCTGTCATTAAGATGAGACAGGAAAAAAAAGGGACACAAAGAATAAATAACTGACATGAAAGGTCTGTAATAAAACTCCATGGGGTGCAGTATTAATCTCCTTTGAGAGTTTTCTGAAAAAAAAAAAAAACAAAAAACAAAGAGGCTCTTCAAGAAACAGTAGTAGTTGAGAATTTTAAAGTACTCAAAACTGTTAGATGCAC